TCAAGGATTTCAGAACATAAGTTACTCCATCCCCTAAGGCAGGTGATGGCAAGGCCAAAGCAGGTATTTTCAAACACCAAGTCTTTCCTTGTACTGGGTTTTTGGTTGTTACATGGGTCTAACTTATATCAATTTATGGAAGTGCATTACTGTACTTCACTTCCCTGGCTTTTTTTTTCTTTTAGCTTCAGTGTTATCTGACAGTAGTACCAAGGAAAGAAGTATGCTCCGGGCCATGGCCTTATGTTCTCATAACTCCTCTGACCTCCTCTCCCTGACAGTACATACCATACATTTCTTTATCACCCATTGTGGGTGGCAGGCATTTCTCTACTGTAACCAAACACCTTTCAGTGTTGATACACTCAATGAACCCTATTGCCATCTCTGGAGTATTTGGTATTTCATTAGGGGGAATTGACCAGTGTGTTGACCATGGTCTCACCCTGCATAAATTTTAATCCAAACTACTGGGACTTGACTAACAGGGTACAACAACTGGCCACCTCCTATCACTCAAGTTCTTGGGGTTACTTAATTTTCCATCTGACTGGAGAAACCACAAGACTGAGGGATCTAAATCCAAGTTGCACCTTATAAAACTGACAATAATTGTGGAGAAGCTATCTCTGTGGCCATCATAAGCATGTGTAGGGAGACAGAGGAAATACCTGGCTGCTTTCATCTCCTGGTCTGTATAGAGTGACGGGAGAGCTGAGATTCACTTAGGAGGCATCTCAAGCTTGGACTAAACTTTTTGTGCTGTAACTGGTTTCCAGGCATGGTCTTCTTCTGTGTAACTTCAGGGTGTTCTGTCTAAACTCTCTGCATTCTCTTGGGGCAATTTATTTATGTTCTTCTGCCTACAGTGGCTGGCCGACAGACATCATCCCCTGCATCTGTCCTAAGCAAGAAAGAGGCCAAGAAGGAGGAAAAGAGACTGACCAAAGATCTGAAGCTCATTACCCAGGAGAGAAATGAGCTGAGAGACCGCTTGATCTTTGTCACAGAGGGAGCCATGAACAAGAGGTACTCATTGCTCCAAACACTTTGCTGTCAGTCTGACATCTGCAATGTCACCCTCAAACTGTACATTCACAGCATCCCTGTGCCCAACTTTGTGTCCCTAAGTGATTCTTAGAGGAGAGGCTAAACCTGATGCTTGGACAGGAGCGAGAAGAGAAAGGGACTCTTCTGCTTCCTCCAATTGACATGTTGAACTTGTGGTCTGAGTAAAGGATTCTGGATGGAGACAGTGGCAAGTGAGTGCCCAGCATGCATTTGGAAAGTCCTTGACAGATGCAGTGAGATTGTGGTGACACTTTGTACTTACCTGGTGTTTACCTGGGTCTTGAAGGTCCTGGCAGCAGCTGGTCCCACACTGTTCATCTCAGTGCTTGACTAGAAGGCCTGAAGCTTATGCTTCTACCTCTTTGTCTGTGTGCCTTATACTCTGAGTCAGTAATGCTGAATGAATTTCTTCTGTTTCTGATTGTGCTCTCTCTGTTGTTGTATCTCTCTCTAATTCTCATTCTCTGTTTCTGTTTCTTTTTCCTTGTCCTTCTGTGTGTGCTCGTGTGTGAACACATGCATAGGTGTGTGCAGGAAATGTAGGTACACATTTTCCTTTCAATCTTTGTGAACTAGATTTCTGTGTTTTGACTGTGGATTTACCTGTATAACAGTTTAAAGGTGATGTGAGTCCTGAGGTCTGGGAGCCCCTAATGTAAACAGCATTGTTCATTGCCTTTGTGGTGCCAGTGGTGTATACAAACTTATATCTCTTTGGCAGATTAGAAAACTGTGTTGATGCCTGGTCTCATCTCTAGAATTATGTGTAATCAATTACTCTACACTGTTAGTTATCTAGGATTTAGAGTCCCTGTTTTGAAAGTAGGAAATAAATATATTCACAGGTCTCTCATGGACAAGGACTTGATGCCTAGTCTCTTTAGAGCATAAACTGCTAGTCTTCCAGGCCAGGCCAGCTGAGTGAACAAAGGGAGCCAAGGTACCATCCATCTGGATGCCTAGCTTATGATGTCCTGGGCCAGGATAACAAATTTCCAAAGCAGGAGAAAATCCCAGTATGTAGAGTGAAGAAAATGGCATTCCACGGTTGGGGTAGGATAGGACCCAGCCTGAGTTCATGTGTTCCTAAAAGCCCATGTTCATAGAGTTCTGTCTTCCTGGGGCCAGACCCTATTACAGGCAAAATCCACTGTATGAAAAACTGAAGTTAAAGGAGAAGACGGTCATGTCATTTCTGAACAAATTAGAGATGGAGAACACTGAGTTCTGTGAGAATGTCCAGGAGCACAAGAAGGAGATTAACTTCTATAGGTAAGTACAGGTCATGGAGGCTACCACTTGTGCAATGGCCATTTCTGCATTCCTTTGAACTGGAATGGAGAGTCTCCAGGTCTGGTTCTATCCCTTCTGCTTTTTAGCCTTCAGTGTACCTTGGGCCTTTTGGACTCACTTTTCTTCAATCTGTAAGAGAACCTTAGTCCTCCCAGGGTTATCTAGGCAACCTCAGGAGCCTCTAAGATGAGAGGGTTCTTTTGCAGAACTGGACCTCTGGGGCTCAGGCATGGTTTTACAGATGTGAGTGTGATGGAACACATGGATAGAATGGCCTCCCCTTAGTCCTCCTGACCTCCAATGAGGGTATTTACACCCTACTACTTGAT